TCTTTCCACAGATGTATTCAATTTGATTTCTGTGTATTCCATCCAGTGAGGTCCATGTGCATAGTCATATTTTATGTTGCTTTAAACAGTTATTTGCAATGTACAAGTCATTGATCTTGCAAAATTCTATTATGTGCTTGCCAGCATGGTTTCTATCATCAAGGCCATATTTTCCAACTATTGATCCTTCTTCTTTGTTTCCTACCATCTTTGTATTCCAATCACCAGTAATTATTAATACATATAGATTGCATGTTTGATCAATTTCAAACTAAAGATGTTGTTAGAATTCTTCAATTTCATACTCACTGGATTTAGTGTTTGGTTCATAAATTTGAATAATAGTGCTATTAACTGGTCTTTCTTGTAGGCATATGGATTATATCCTATCACAAACAGTGTTGCACTTCATGACTGATTTTGATATGTTCTTAATGATTAATGCGACACCATTCCTCTTCAATTTGTCATTCCCAGCGTAGTAAACCATGTGATTGTCAGATTCCAAATGGCCAATACCAGTCCATATCATCTCACTAATACCTAGGATATCAATCTTTATGCATTCCATTTCATCTTTGACAATTTTCCAATTTTCCTAGATTCATACTTCATACATTCTATGTTCTGATCATAGATAACATCAATATTGGTGCTGTTGAATGCCCAGATGTTAAGAATCACAAAAGAAAATATTCACTAAAGGATCATATGATAACAAAAAAAAAAAGAAAGGAAGGAACCAGCAAAGATAATATATATTTGTTTGATGTGTATGTGTCTACCTGTGGAGATAAGGCAAGAAAAGAAAGAAGGAAAAGGTGAGAAGCAACTAAAATGATTTTTTAGATATTAAAAAAGAGTCTTGAAGACATGAGTTCATAGTTAAAGCCTGATTTGAGCTTGCTGAGTAACCTCAGACAATTCGCACGCCTGTCTGGGATGTAATTTCCTCTTCTATGTAACAGGACAGGTAATGGGCAGGTCTTTTAGGATCTTTCTATCTTCAGCATTCTATGATTTATGTTGCAAAAGTCTAACTAACAAAGATAAGCATAACTTAGATGCTTTGTGAGGGGAGCATGGTGGCTTCATACAATAAGCATTGGACTATGAGCCACAAGGTTGGTGGTTCAAGCCCACCAGCCATCCAGGAGAAAGATGAGACTTTCTGTTCCCAAAAGATTTAAAGCATTGAGCACCCTATTAGTGTTACTATGAGTCACAACTGATTCCAGGGCTCTTTAACAATAACAAAGACGCTTTGTGTGATTGCAAATATTGACTGAGACCTTCCTTTCTCCCTTCCCCCTTCCCTTTCTCTCTCCCCCTTCTCTCGCTCCCTTTATTCCTTCCATAACAAGTATTTAGTATCAATTTACTATGTGTCTGAACCTGAGGATATGTATGGAAAAGACAAATCATGAAAACACTCCAGTTCCTACTACTAAGGCTATCATATTTTGATTCAATGGCAGTCAACTCATAGGTTGTCCAGTAACATCAATTGTCACAGATTTTTGTTTGGAGAAGGAGTACAACATAGAGGATAAAAACAGAACCCAAACTACATAGGCCCAACTCCTGGTTCCATTATTTATTAACTGTGTAAACCTGGGGCAATTTACTTAATGTCTTAGCACCTCAGTTTCCTCAGTTGTCAAATGGGTAAAACAATGCATCCATCACCTAGCATCATCATAAGTTTCAAATTAGTTTATTCATGTGAACTACTTAGAACAATGCCGAGCATGTAATAAGCATCCAACGAATGTTAGCCTCTATGATTAGCAGTCTTGTGAAGAATTCAAATTGGGCAATACAGAGAAATTAAGTTGACTGAAGTAGGGGCAGAAACTGAAAGATATCAGGAAGCAGTTTGGGGTCTTGGCAAACCAATGTTGCATGCATGCTAAAGTTGTGACAGGAGAGGTATCCTGTTAGTACAGAGAGAAGAAGACATACAAAGAGACACAGAAGCATGAGCAAGAGGTCCTGGGGCCCACATTTGAGATGGGGAGCAGCCCGTCTGAGAGGTGCCTTGGTTCCTAATGTACGCCATGTCTGATCATTGTCTATCTGTACAATAACCACCATTTTCCTAAGGGCCTCCTTGCAGTCTAGAGATATAACTAGAACAGTGCCCATGAGAAAGGATAAACTGTGATTCTTTGGCTCAAAGAGTTAATCCATGATTAGTGTTTGTAAACCAGCAATTCTGAAGTAGTGATGTATGTTCAATGCAGAAGCGTTTCAATATATACTATGGGAGCCCAGAGAAGCAGTTTCTTAGCCTATCTGTAGGGGTGAGAGGAGAATGTAGTCAAGGAGGAGGTGATGCTAGGGTTACATTATGAATGATTGGCAGTGAGGAAGGACTTAAGAAGCATTCAGACAGAAGAGTCACCAAGCAAGAAGTAGCTTGGTGTGCACACAGGAAGGTTGGACAGATGAGTGATCAGAAGGGTAGTATGCAACTAGAATGCATTTAGGGAATGAGGCAGAAATTCATTCAACAAATATTTACCAAGCATTCAAGAGTTAAGTTCTCTTCCGGCAAGCAGGATAGGATAGAGCTGTGAGTAAGCATGGCAAAGTCCTTACCCTCTCAGAGCTTGCATTTCAGTGGGAGAAGCAAACACCATCAAGTATCTAAATAACAAGAACTAAGTATCTTAAATATTCCATTTAAAATGGTATAAGAACTACAAAGAAAAGGAAAGCAGAATGTTGGAACAGAAATTGATGTGGTCAGAGTGATGAGATTAACTTAAATGGTTGGTCAGGAAAGGGTATATCATTAGAATAGAGACCTGTATAAAGAAAGGTAGCTTCTTGTAAATAGATCTAATGGAGAGGTTATCTAAACCTGAAATAGGGCAATGCTGACTGAGATGGAGGAAGGAAACAGAGTTTCTAAATGTTTATGAGGTAAATGTGCCAAGTCTTAGCCATCGTTTAAATGTAGGGCATGAGAAAAGGGAAAAGGTGAAGAACCACTTCCGTATTTCTAGCTTAGTAAGAAAGTTAGTGCTGCCACCAGTTGAGAAACCAAATGCAAAAGGAGAACCAGGTGGGGAGGCAAGTAAAAGATGATGAGTTGTTTTGCAGAATGATGGGATTATAGTACAGTCACTCGGATGTCAATATTCCCAGCAAGGAGAGTTGGGTTGGAATAGAAGCCTGGGCCAGAGATTTAGATTTGGAAGTGAATGAAGCATCACCAAGGTTGCCAGCTACTCAGCCAATGAGTATGTATTGAGTGCCAAGTGCCAGACTCTGTCATTTTCTGAAAGAAGTTACTTTTTTGTGGAGGCATGCAACAACAACAACAGCAACAAAATTCTCAAACAAGGCAAATTACTTTTGGTACTGATGATAGGCACTATCAAGAAGTTTAAATGAGGTCGTAGGAAAAAGAGTAATGGAGGGAGAGATTGTAGAGAGAGATGGCTTTAACTATCGTGGTCAAGAGGTGGTCCTTTATAAGGACATGACATTTCAATTGAGAATTGAATGATGAGAAGGATATGTTGCTTTTGCTACTAGCTGCATTCCAGTCAGCCCCAATTCATAGTGATCCCATGCAAAATGGGATCTTACTATTGTGATCCACAGGATTTTCAATGACTGCTTTTAGGAAGTAGATTGCCAGACCTTATTTTTGTGTCTGTCTGAGTCTGGAAGCTCTATTATAACCAGATCAGCATCAGAGCAATGCACAAGCCTCCTTTCACAGATGGGTGGTGGCTGTCCTTTAGGTATATTGTTGTTGTTGTTGTTAAGTGCCATCAAGTTGGTTCTGACCCACAGCAACCCTGTATAGGGCTTCTGAGGAGCAGCTGGTGAGCTTGAGTCGCCAACGTTGCAGTTCAAACTAAACTTGCAGCCCAGCGCATTAACCCAGGAATCAAATCTGGGGACGAAAGCCAGGTGTCCTGCATGGAAGAAGAGGGCTCTACCACTGAGACACCAATGTTCCTTGAGAAGGAAATGGTGGTGGTGGTGGTATGCCGTGGAGTCGATTCCTACTCATGGCAAACCTGGTTGGGTTTCTGAGGCTGTAAATCTTTACGGGAGCAGAAAGCTTCATCTTTCTCCCACGGAACGGCTGGTAATTTTGCACTACTGACCTTGAGATTAGCAGTGTGACTTGTAACCAAGAAGGACCTAGCTGGTGAAAATCTAGAGGAAGGCCCTTTTAAGCAGAAGCCATCACACAAGTCTTTTAGGTCCTGAGATGGATTATTGCCATGGTCTTGGTATGTTTGAAGATCAGGGAGGTCAGAGCAAGGTGAGTTGGGGTAGAATAGAGGGAGGTGAGTGAGTAGAAGACAGGGTCTTGGCATTCATGTGGAAAAGTTCCAATTTTTCTCCCCAAGGGGAAAGTGTACAGTAAGATTAGCAGAAGATCAAGGTGATTCCTGGCAAAAGCAGACATGAAGGTCAAAGGGAATGAATGTGGTACCGTAGAAGCCAGTAGAGGATAGAATTTTGAGTGGCATGTGAGTGAGAAACTGAATTACTTTTCATGTTGATAACACAGAGTGGCTGCTATCTCAGGATGTGTAGAACCAGAGGATACCTAGTGAGCATCATTCAATTCCTCTTAGAGCCCACCAGTAACCAAAAGGTCCAAGAAGGCCATTTATCCTACCACTAAACTTGGTTTTCTCTTCCAACTTAACAGCTTTAGTTTACAGAGTCATTTATATATCAGCCCTGAATCGATGTCCACAGGACCATTTTGAGAGAGCTGCATGAATACTTCAGCATTATATGCAATTATTGTACTGATGAGAAAATGGAGGTGCACAAAAGCTGAATGCCCTTTGCAAGATGATAAATGCCTAAGCTAAAAATAGCTTTCTTGTCTACTCATTCCAATGTTACTTTTTATTTTGCATCTAGCTCACTCTTCTGTTTGGGGAAAGCTATCATTAGACACAGGATGGGTTGTCAAACGACAGTGATGACGTGGACCCTCTCTTCATCCACAGGTACAACATTTCGCTTGGACGTCTGGGATGGATGGAAGGAATTTCTGATGGGTTGTCTCCTAGGACAAAAACTTAAAGTCCAACGCTACTTATCAGAAGAAGGACCAATACTCAAGTATGGGAGAGAAATGCAAATATTATTAAATCATTTAAGAAATTTTTAATTTATAGGACTTGGAGTCTGCATTTCATGGCATGTGCTGCTTCTTGGCATTTCCATTTAGAATATCTCAACTAGACATTATTATTGGAATATTTGCTGCAGAAATACAGCAGGGACATTACCAGGATTGACGGTCTTTGATGACAGTTTGCAATTCAAGTAGACTTGGGAAACTGACTATTTAAGTGCAAGACTTCAGTCTCTGGATGTCAGTCTTTCAATAGTGCTTTTGAAGACTGTCAGAATAAGTACCTTGCTATCCTTTTGGTTCAACTATTTTTTTTAAAAGAAGGAAAGAAAGAAAAAGCACTTGCTAATTGATTGACTGAAAACATTGGCTGTCTCTTCCTAAACTCACATATAATTTTTTAAACTTCAGTTAATAAATGTGCTCATAATTTTGCCATGCATAAAATGTAGCATGTGTGGCTGGCACAGTGGAAGACGGTGGTCTTGAAGAAGCAGGTGGAAAATCGAATGTGTCACTGCAGCCTAAATAAATAAGCTGCATTATCCTTCAGATTTTAATTCAGTGGTATTTTAGTCCTGGTAGGAGCTCTGGTGGCGTAGTGGTTACGAATCGGGCTGCGAACCTTAAGGTCAGCGGTTCGAAACTACCAGTCGCTCCGCGGGAGAAAGATGAGGCTTTCTACTCCCGTAAAGATTTACACCCTCGGAAACCCTGTACAGGGTCGCTATGGGTCGGAACCGACTCGATGGCACTTAACAACAACAACACAACAATGGTGCTATAGAATAAGCACTGGACTGCTATTGATAAAGGTGACAGTTCAAACCCATGAGCCACTCCTCGGAAACCCTATACAGGGTCACTATGAGTCAGAACCAACTCAAAAGCACCTTAACAACAGCATTTTAGAACAGTGTTCCCTTATGCTTTAATCATGTTTTACAGAAGCCCATACACTCACCAGAAGCTCTGAGGACCCTGTCAAGTGACAGGTTGGAATACCAGTTTTATAATTATATAACACATTCAAATATTTTAAATTAATTTCTATCTGGAAATAGTGATAATTCTCTTTTTTTTCCCATGCTCTGAATAATACTACTAAATAAGAATTGTGTTGTAGTGTTACTTTTAGTACTGCATATTTATTGAATATTTTCTCTGATTTACTGTGTTTATTACCTCATATTATAGTTATAATCATTTTATGAGGTGGATACTATTTTATCTTGTTTTATAGATAGTAAACCTGAGATTAGGAAATCTGCCCAATATCACACAGCTAACTAGGACAGAACTGGGAATTGGGCCAGTTAATATAACAATTTAAGTCCAGCACTCATCTGCTTAACCATCTACATCTTTAAATAAAATTTAAGAGCTTAGATAATGTAAATGGGACTTAAAAGTTCTTTTTATTCTGTCATCCAAACAACAAATATTTATTGAGCAATTAGTGTGTACGGTCCAAGATTCTAGGGCTAGAGCATAGATAAGATATGGTCAGAGTTCTGGTGAGGCACTGTAACATAAGCACTGGACTGCAAGATCAGTTTGAAAGGTTGGAAGTTCAAGGTCACCAGCCACTCCTTGGAAACCCTATACAGGGTCACTATGAGTCAGAACCAACTCAATGGAATCAACCAACTCAACAGCAAGAAGATATGGTCACTGCCCTCAGTAAGCTTACAGTCAGTCCAGTAGGGAAAACAGAGAAACAAGTCACTAGTTTCTAGGGATGCAGAATTTTAAAATGTGTCCATTTGCCTAGTTTTGAAGTCCAACTCCCTCAATGTTTAGCTGTGTAAACTTGATCAAGTTCTATAATGTCCCTGTACCTTAGTTTTCTATTCTCTAAAATGGGAATGATAATAATATCTCTCTCATAAAGGAGTCACTAGGTGGTACAAATAGTTAATGCTCAGTTACTAACCAAAAGGTTGGCGGTTCAAAGTCACTCAGTGGCACCTTGAAAAAAAGATCTGCCAATCTGCTTCTGAAAGGTCACAGTCATGAAAACCCCATGAATCAGTTCTACTCTGGTACACACAGGGTCATCATAAATTGAAACTAACTAGATGACAACTGGTTTGGATTTTCTTTATCTCAAAGAATTGTTTCAGGGATTAAATTACTTAATAATCAGAAGGAACTTGGAAGGAGGGCTGACATGTGGTAACCAGGATATGTTGTTGTTGTTAAGTGCCATCGAGTCGGTTCCGACCCATAGCGACCTTGAACAGGGTTTCCAAGACTGTAAACCTTTACGGGAGCAGAAAGCCTCATCTTTCTCCCACAGAGCAGCTGGTAGTTTTGAACTGCTTACTTTGCAGTTCACAGCCCAATTCGTAACCACTACGCTACCAGAGTTCCTTAACCAGGATATAAGCTTTAGGTATTGTTCAAACCGACCTTGCAGTCCAATATTCACCAGCTGCTCCTCGGAAACCCTGTACAGGGTCAGAACCAACTCAATGGCACTTAACAACAACAATTGTTACTCTTATCAGTCAATGTGAAAAGTGCTATAGCATGGGTGATGATGTATGGCATGAATACATGGTGATATGAGAACGCATAGTAGGCACAACTAACTGAACTGAAGGGATCCAATACAGTGTTCTGAGAAAGAGAACTTCGCATTGAAACTTGAAACATTGGTACTGAAGTAGGAGGAAGGAAGAAGAAAGAAGATGTTCCAAATAAGATGGAAGCTCAGAGGCTTGGAGACAACAGAATATATTCAAGGGACTGAAAAAGTTCCACGTGGTAGGTTGTAGAGAGCGAGTTCAGTGGAAAACAATGAGGCTAGAAAAAAATGAGACAATCTCATGTAAGTGCCTGTAAGATTGTAAAGGAATTTGACCTTTGTAGTGCAAGTAATGGAAAGACATTGAAGGTCGGAAGGGCCTTGATGCCCTGTATTTTAGAATGTTGACCCTGGCTGCAGTGTGAGGAAGAGAGGCAGGCAGGGTCAACAAGAGGTGATACTGGCCTGAACTCAGGCTGTGCTGGAAGAGGTGGGGTAAATAGACAGACGGTAGAAAGGTATCTTTAGGAGGCAGAATCAACTAGTGTAAAGGACAAATTAGATCTTAGAAGAGAGGGAGAGGAAGGAAAAGATAAAGATGATGTCCAGCCCCCCCTTTTGAATAATGGGGTGAGTGGATGGTTTGTTCATTTAGGAGCGGAAACCCAGCAAAGGAAGAGGTTTGCAGGAGAATGTGAGAATTCACTCATGAGCATGTTGCACTTGAAGTTCTTTTGGGACCCACAAATTGAACTATAGAAGTTTGAAGAAAAGCTATGAGGTAATATCCCTATGTTGCCAAAACACTGATTTCAGGACAATTTTCATAGTTGAACCTGTGAGCGGGGGCAGGGGCAGGGTAAAGGGTGGAAACTCTTCTCAGACCACAAAAAAACTGGTCAAAGGCAGAGATGCTGACTTGCATTAATAAATTTCAAAATAAACTGATGTCTGAATCACAATGTTAATGTATTAATTTATGACTTTAATCAGTTATACTGTAACTGCAAGAAGGTCTCAGTTGTGGCTGCTATATGCCATTAAGCTGATTCCTAGTCATGACAGCTTCTAGTGGGCAAAGCAGAACTCTTCATAGGATTTTTAAGGCTGTGACTTTTCATCCAAGGTGCTCCCAGATGTGCTCACACTGCCAACGTTTTGGTTGGTAGCTGAGTGCTTAACTGTTGGTGTCACCCAGGGACACTGAGGGTTCCAGAGACCCATTTCATTCTGGGCAGAGTCTTTTTCCCATTCAGGAAAAGTACATGGGAAGATGATATAGTAAAGTTGTAATTAGACAAGAATGTGAGTTATATACAATAAATGCTGGATGATACCAGACCAACTTGCCTCCATCTCTACAACGGGGATGGCAAGCCCTGCCCAAAGGAGCTCTGGTAGCGTAGTGGTTACGAATCAGGCTGTGAACCACAAGGTCAGCAGTTTGAAACTACCAGCTGTTCTGCGGGAGAAAGATGAGGCGTTCTGCTCCCGTAAAGATTTATAGTCTCAGAAACCCTGTACAGGGTCGCTGAGTCGGAACCGACTCCACGGCATATAACAACAACATAACATGCCCTGCCCAAGTGTATCTTGGGTATTACCTGATGAGGCTCTGTCCATGTTTTCCTCCCTTACTATCATTTTTCTGAATAGTCTTCACCTGACACATTCTTTATTAGGTCTAGTATTTTATTCCTTTATATTACAGAACTGGGGAAGGGTGTTTGGTGTTAGAATTCTCACCTTCCATGTGAGAGATCCTGGTTCAGTTTCTAGCCAATGAATCTCATGTATAGCCATCACCATCTGTCAGTGGATACTTGGGTGTTGTTATGATGCTGAACAGGTTTCTGTGAAGTTTCCAGACAAAGGCAGAATAGGAAGAAAGGCCTGGTGACTTACTTCCAAAAAATCAATTAAAATTCTTTGACAGTGGTCTGATCCCTCTTTGCTTGAATCAGGGATTGAGTGAGCAATTAACAACAAAAAGTTACAGTGCAATTGTGTGACTTTGTAGTAGCTCCGTTTTGTCCTATTGTATGCTGATTTGTAGCTATTTCCCTGAGGCCAGCATCCCTTCCCTTATTTTCTAGGGACCATCTCACTATAGTTCTCGTGCATGTATACTGACCGCACAAACAGTGGTAGTGTTGGTGTGCCATGGAGTCATTTCTGATTCATAGCTACCCTGCATATGGTTTCTGAAGCCATAAATCTTTATGGGAACAGAAAGCCTCATCTTTCGCCCACTGAACAGCTTGGTATTTTCAAGCTGCTGACCTTGAGGTTAGCAGCCGGACTGGTAACCACTATGCTAGTACAATGTTACAAATCCTTCCTGTTCAAATGTAGACGTGTCATATTAACTACTTCTCTACAAACCATATGGAATCCTGGTGTGGCCCTGCAGGATAATGCGCTGGACTGCAAGGTCAGTTTGAGCTGCAAAGTCAGTGATTCAAACCCATCAGCCACTTCTCAAAACCCCAGACAGGATTGCTATGACTCAGAACCGATTCAACGGCACTGAACAACAAAAACAAACCATACAGAATCCTAAAAGTGTAATTTTTCTTATTTACTGGTACTTTATTTAAACTAATTTTCGTTTTATATTTATGGTCCACCAGGATGATTTTTCCAGCTTCCTAGTTTTTATAAAGTTGCAAACTATTTTCCAAAATCTTGTTCCATACACTTCTTAAATTTTGGTAAGCCTCAAATATAACTTCTTGGAGAACAGATGCTTAGGAGAATTTGTTTTTTATATGCACTTAAATTAAGAAAGCTCAGAAGCCCTGAGAGCCCATCATTTTATTTTAAGAGTCTGTTAGTCAAAAAATATTTGCTCTCCTCCTACTGCATGCAAGGATTCAAATTGCCCAGAGGTAATTGGAAAGAAAAGTCTAGAGAGCTATTTCTGAGAAATAAGTCATTAAAAACCCATGCAGCATTGTTCTACTCTGACACATACACAGTCACCATGAACTGGAGTCGACAGGACAGCAATTGGTGTTTTTGAGTCATTGTGTCCTGGTTTGGCCCTATACAGGGTCACTGTGAATCAGAACCAACTTGATGGCATCTCATCAACAAGAAAAACTGTTTAAGGTTCTTGCAGTGCATCGGGTTCCTATCTTCAAGGAGTTGCAGTCTATTGGGGGGCAGGGGGTTGGGTGGGAAGGACTGATAACAATAAGGAAGCAAATAATTTCTGATAGCAAGATGTGTTTCCATGGGAGTGTGTGTGCTTTTAGCTAGCACCGTTGGGTAGGCCTCTAAGTAGGTGATTAGAAGAAGCAACCAGTGTGGAGATCAGAGGAGAGGCATTATAGGCACAGGGAAAAGTAAATATAAGACCCCAAGACTAAGTTAAATTGGAGTGTTGGAGGGACATCCGGCAGGCTTGTGAGGTGAAAGAAGAGAGGCATGATGGGTGTGGGAGAGGAGGCCAAAGGATGGGAGGCCATGTAAGCCAAGGGAAGCAGTTAGGATTTAAATGTAATGGGAAGCGACTAGAGGGTTTGAACCATAGGATAGATAAGTACTCTCCAGTTTGTGAAATAAGAAGACAGCTCTCAGTGCTGAGTGAGGAGGGGCCTGAAAGAGGGTAAAAGGAAGCAAGAGAATGGGGAGGGAGCCAAGGTAGTGGAAGTGATGGCCTGAGGTATGATGATGGCTTGGATTGGGGTAGCAGTATAGTGAGGAGCCAGAAAATAAAGATTCTTAGAAAAGACATACATATAAAACTTTTACGTTTTAAAAAATGTGCTACATTTTCCAAATATTTTCCCATTTAATATAAAGCATTATGTTTTTCCTGAGCATTTGATTTCCATAAGAAAAATGACAATGCCAAGGAAATTAGGTTGGATGAGTTACATGTGAATAGTAGGATAATGTGGATTCCTGGTGTGGCACTGTGGAATAAAGCCCTGGACCGAAAGGCTGGTTTGAACCACAAGGTCAGTGGTTCAAACTCACCAGCTGCTCCTTGGAAACCCTACATAGGTCCCTATGAGTTGGGACTGACTCCACCGCATTTAACAACAATAGGATAATGTATAAAAACAGATCCGGTTCAATTTGACCAGTGTATGACTGCTGGCCTTTTCTGAAGATATTTTAGGTAAAAGTTAGGAAGAAATGAACATTTTAACTAGAATGTCTCCTGAGTATTTAGCATGACAACTTTTGTCTGTTTGACTACTAATCACCTCTGCTCCTATTTATTTCATTCACACAGGTATCAGAAAAGGGTGGCTCTGTACATCGCTGCATTTTATGGGTACATGGAACTCACTGAATGGGCCCTGAAGCAGGGTGTGCGGCCCAATGAGGCGGTTGGTGTTCACCCCTACCGAGCATGGTGCCATGAAGCCCTTCATGCAGATGTCTCTAAATGCCCCATTCATGCAGCTGCAGAATCAGGCCAGCTCCTGATTCTGAAGGCCTTTGTCAACTGCAGCACACTGTGCCTGGAATGCAAAAATGCTGCAGGACAAACTCCCCTGACCATCGCACTTAAACACAAGCATAAAGACTGCGTATTATATTTGCTGAATAAAATGTGGTCCACCGTCTCTTTTCCGAAAATTTCAGTCCCCATGAGAATTTATATCAAAATAAAACAATGGGTCCTCAGAGTTCACAGCCTTAACAAAAGTCAGCTTTACCGAGCAAGGATTTCTGGGGCAAGAGTTGGAGACACTGTCATGGTGGATGGTTTCACCAAACCGAAAATGACCTCCCAAAGCTGGTATAAGTATGGGCACAAGAACTCACAAAGCACCTTATGCCAGTTATCACCTCTCAAGGGACAAACTACAAGCAAAAAAGCTGTGAATCCTTTGGCAATTTCTCAACAGAACACAAGAGAAAAAACCCTCATGTTCCCTCCACTGGTAGATGCAAATAAATTCTCTGAATTACAAAGGCATCAAGAAAAAAATCAGAAAAAAATTACTGATACAGCTAGAAGAAAGGAAAAGTTTATAAAAAATGCATATCTCCCTCAAGTTCCCCTCCCTTCAGTGTCAAAAGTGGGGTATTCACACCCATCATTTTATTATGCATCACCCAGTGCTGTTTTTTCACTACGATCCTCCCTCAAGTCTTTCTCAAAGCACAATGGGAAGACTACAAGGGAGAATGCAATCTACTGCTTAGCTGTGGCAAGGTAACGTTTTCTCTTTAAGCTTACAAGGGCAAGTCTTTCATAGGACAGGTTGAATGCATGGAATGAGGTGGTTTCCAGACAGAATTCTCACCTTCCATGCAAGAGATTCCTGGTCAATGCACCTCAAGGGCAGCCACCACCCATTTGTCAGTGGAGGCTTGCATGTTGCTATGATGATGAACCAGGTTTCAACAGAGCCTCCAGATTAAGACAGACTGGAAAGAAAGATCTGGCAATCTACTTTTAAAAAAATCTGATCACATTGTGAATGAAACTTTCATGAGTGGGGGCTGACTTGATGAGAGGTAACAACAAATACAGCTGGGCAGGCAATGGACCATGAAGCCCTATCATACCAGATACTGTGTTATATGTTGTTGTTAAGTGCCATCGAGTCAGTTCCGACTCATAGCGACCCTGTATAGGGTTTCCAAGGAGCAGCTGGTAAACTTGAACTGCCGACCTTGCAGTTCAAATGGCTTTGTAGTCTGGTGCATTAACCCACAGCGCCACACAGGACTCCAGTGTGTAATATAGGTTGTTTCAATATATCAATTCTCTTCTTCAAGGACTTCATCTTAGCTTTGCTGTCTAGTTAATTTTTTTACCCAATGAATCTGCATCGGACTTTACTCCTCAACTTTTCTTTTCAATGAAAAGAGCTATATTAATTAGCAAGCTGCCTTTCTTTTTTTCTTATTATTTTTTTAAACTAATAATAAATTGTTAATTATAATTAAAGGGAGACGAGAGAAACTTAAAATGCAGGAGAGAGTACATCAAACGCACATGGAAAGCTAGATGGTAAAGAAAATGGAAGGACAAAGGAACAATTTAATGGCAAATTAAACCATAGACTAAGTTGATTTACTGGGTAAGGGATACAGGTGAAGGGAAATCCATAAAGTACGTTGTTGTTAGATGCTTTCAAGTTGGTTTAGACTCATAGTGACCCTATGTACAATAGAATGAAACATTCCCAGTCCTACACCATCCTCACAATACTGGCCGTGTTTCATCCCATTGGTGCTGCCACTGTGTCAATCCATCTCATTTACCTTCCACTTTACCAAGCATGATGTCCTTCTCCAGGGATTGGTCTTTCCTGACTACATGGCCAAGTTACAAGAGATAAAGTCTTGCCATCCTTTCTTCTAAGGAGCAATTCTGTCATACTTCTGAAACAAAGCTCTTCATTTTTCTGTCAGTCTATTGCTGTTGTTAAGTGCTGTTGAGTCAGTTCCAATTCATAGCAACCCTGTATAGGGTTTCCAAGGAGCGGCTGGTGAATTTGAACTGCCAACCTTGTAGTTCAAACCGACTTGCAGGTCCAGCATATTATCCCATAGCTCTGCATAGTACTTTCAATATTCTTCACCAATGCCATAATTCAAATGCATTGATTCTTCTCTGGTCTTCCTTGTTTATTTTCCAGTTTTCACATGCATATGGGGCTATTGGAAATTGCTCATGGCTTGGGTCAGGACCACCTTTGTCCTCAAAGTGGCATCTTTGTTTTTGAATACTTTAAAGAGGTCGTTTGTAGCATGTTTGCCTAATGCAATATGTCATTTGATTTCTTGACTCCTGCTTCCGTGAGTATTGATTGTACATCCAAGTAAAATGAAACCTCTGACAACTTCAATCTTTTCTCCGTTAATCATGATGTTATTTATTGGTCCAGTTGTAAGGATTTTTGTTTTCTTTACATTTCTAATCCCTACTGAAGACTGTGGAGTCCTGGTGTGGCGCTATAAGATAAAGCATTGGACCCCAAAGTCAGTTTGAACTGCAAGGTCACCAGTCACTCCTCAGAAATCCTATACAGTGTCACTATGAGTCAGAACCAACTTGATGGCACTTAACAACAACAACTGAAGGCTGTAGTCATTGATTTTCATCAGTAAGTATTTCAAGTCCTCTTCACTTCCAGCAAGTAAGGTGGTATTATCTGCATATCACAGATTGTTAATGAGTTGTCCTTCAATCTCGATGCCACGGTCTTCTTCAAACAATTCATCTTCTTGGATTATTTGCTCAGCATACACATTGATTAAGTACAATGAAAGGATACAACCCTGGCACACACCTTTCCAGATTTTAAACTGGGCAGTATCATCTTGTTCTATTCAAACAACCCACGTATAGGTTCCCTAGGAGCACAATTAAGTTTTCCTGGAATACCCATTCCTCATAATGTTTATCCATTGTTTGTTATGCTCCACATAGTTGAATGCCTTTGCATAGTCAGTAAAGCATAAGTAAACATTTTCCTGGTATTCTTTGCTTTCAGACATATCAGCAATGAAACCCCTTGTTTCATGTCCACTTCTGAATCAGTCCTGAATTTCTGGCCGCTCCCTGCCAATGTACTACTGCAACCATTTTAAAATGATCTTCAGCAAAATTTTATTCGCATGTGGTATTAATGCTACTGTTTTGTGATTTTTGCCTTGTGTCACTGTTCTTTAGATTGGGCACAAATATGGATCTCTTCCACTCAGATGGCCAGGTAGTTGTCTTTCACATTTTTGGCATAGACGAGTGAGCACTTCCAGCACAACATCAGTTTGTTGAAAGCTTTCAATTTATATCATGGAAGCTTGCTTTTCACCTCTGCCTTCAGTGCAGCTTG